ATAAAAAGACAGTTGTCACAAGCGCGGTCCGGAAATCATTACATATCCCACATGCGTACTCAGTTTTAGTGAACTCAACTGAACTGAACTCAGGAACCTCAGTGGAACAGCTTTCTGTGAAAGAATCCAGGGCGGAGCCTATGAGTGTGCTGCATCTCTTTGTTGTAGCTACACTAATCTTTATGTGTCTCTCTCTTTGTCTGTTTTTCGTGATAATTAGCTGTTCTTACACTGAAATGATTAGTGGGAACAGGTGTAAATGTGTGCAAATCATATAGGTATATCCTAAATGTGCGTCCCTGCAGGAGGGCTGTGATTTTGCTGGTCTGTCTAGGTGAGCAGAGCTGAGCAGACAAAAGGCTTCATCAGTCCCCCTCCTCTTCAGAGATTCAGATATCATGTGAAAAATACAGAGGAGATTGTATTTCTCTGTCTGTGATGTGTTGTACAGCCGAGGAAGACATTTGCTGTCCTTATGTTCAACATTCAGTAATGTTCTTAGCAATTAAAGAAATAAAAGAAATGTATGGTTGACATTGATTTCATTAAAAAAAGTAGTCTATAGTCTATGGGCAACACTTAATGTATTTTAAATAATAATTCATTAATTTACATAATTGTTTTTTTTCCCCCACAAAGATGATCCAATAATAATAATGTGGAGTCCTAAACACGTAATTGACGAGAACAAACTAAGGCAACTAATTAAAGTTCAATATTTAATTCTGTATAAATAGGGAAGGTTCAGCCATTTTGTCTGATCATAAAGACTGAATGTTTCTGCAGCAGATCTGGAAATATTTAATCCCATGGAACAAATTTAAACTAATTGGACATAATAACAAAATAATTGCTTCTTAAGCCTCCACAAAGTGCTAAACAACACATTTAAACAAAAAAGAGAACTTTTACTGGTGAAAAACGTTTCTGAGGTTTAAAAGGCAACATCTGGTTTTGCTTCATTACATTTTGATGTCAGGATTTTCTGTTGTCTTTATATCTGTTGAAACTGGTGTTGTGGGAGTCGGACGTAAAGAGAAAAGACACAAAGGTCTTTAATAGAGATGATTCCATGTAAATAAGGAGCATGTCTTCATTTTGCAAAAGCAAAAGACTGAAAGGCAGATCTCCTGTGTTGATGGAACAAGAAAACAGGTCATGAGAAGTTGCACATAAACTAAAAACACTTTATTATTAAATATAAAATATTTTTGTGGAAACCATGATTTTTCAGGATTCTTTGATGAAAATTTAAAAGAATGAGGATGTCCTACCCTGCCTCTAATTTCTTTAAAATAATAATAATAATCTTACTGACCCCAAAACGGTAGTGTGGATATATTTTTTCCCTGCTGATTCATCTGTTTAGCTACCAATGTAAGTGATATATTTATTTTTTAATCAAAATATAAAATGCATACAAGAAAAAAAAAACTTTTTAAGGGAAATAGATAGGCTACTGTTCATAACAATAAATCCCATAACAAATATAAACTGTGCAAGTCAGTAAAGTCAAAATATATTTAATGAGAAATACAATTATTTTATTTTATTACAGTTCTGGAGATGTACAACCTTTGCTTTGCACACAAACCATTAACACAAATCTTTATATAAATTGTTAGACCTAAAATTACCTAATTTTGCTGTGTTATGTGTTATACATCACAACAACTATCATCACTAGCTTGTGTTTTGGAGAGTGAGCTGCGTGAACCCAGATACTGTGGAATCTTGGGAGGGTAGTGAGGCCATGTATGGGGGTTAGGCTGCTAGCCAGGGGAGGCAGTTTGTGTGTCTGTGTGTGTGAAAGAGAGAGGCCAAACAGGGCATGCAAACACAGGGTATGACTATGAGGAGGGTTGGGTGGCAGATGTGCTCTCTGCTTTGGGCTGCTGAGGAAAAACAGTTGAAACTTTGGGGCTTTATCCAGTGTGCTGCTGCAGCGCGTCTGAACTGAATGACTTGAGCTCAGATAGGTGGAGTTCTCAAAAAGTAGGTCAGCCAAAAAGGGCGGGCTTGCTTTTAACCTCTGATATGCAACATGCTTTCCGTTTTGCGTAGCCCGAATCTTCCCATCCATGGCCGTTAGAAATAAATATTATTGGTAAATTAACATCATAGATCAAAGTAAGAGCGTTGGTGCTTTATTCTCACAGTTTTTGTTATTGAATGAGACTTACTCAGCATTTTGAGTAAGTTACATGAATTCTCAGAGGCACCATCACGACTAAGAGCAAACAGCTCGCCTCCACACCCACGACTCACACAGAAGGATGGAAAAATTGTTCACAATATTCACATCACACTCCTTCTGAATATGCAACATAGTGCAAGAAAGGATAAATGCACATTGACTCATGATGGCCCATCTTCTTGGTTTAGCATTAGTAATAAATGCATATTCTGTTTTATATTTTGCAAAGCATTTTTGCAGATAAAAAGTAGGCTAAACGTTGCATATGCACAAATGAGTCCACACAGTCTGTAAGCAATTATTTCTTATTTCTGAGAAATGTATCATGATAATAGCATATTTGGGGGCTGGTTTTTTTATGTTTTTGAAAGTCTCTTATGCTCACAAAGACTGCATTTATTTGTTCAAAAATACAGTAAAACATTAATACAATTTAAAATAATTGTTTTGTATTTTAATATAAAATTCGATTTATTCCTGTGATGGCAAAGCTGAGTTTTCAGCAGCCATTATTTCAGACTGCAGTGTCACAAGATCCTTCAGAAATCATAATATGTTGAATTGGCTCAAGAAACTTATTTTTTTATCAGTGTTGAAAACAGAGGAGCTGCTTAATATTTTTTCTTGAAACTGTGATACTTTTTTATTTTTGAGGATTCCTTGATTAATAGAAAGTTCAAAAGAACAGCATTTATTTAAAAGATCTTTAGGAATCTTTTGTAACATTGTAAATGTCTTTACTGACACTTCACTGATCAATTTAATGTGAGCTAAATGTTTTTATTATTATTTTTTTTTTTAAGTAGAAATCTTAGTTTTGAACGGTCTGTATTCTACATAATCCAGCAGTAAGAGTTGTGATAGTTTATCAATTGACGATAAAATCACTGGCCAGATTTTTGACCAATACCTTTAATGTGCATAAACTGCATTTTTCAGTATTAGGCCTACACAATTTTTATTTTAGGCTACTTTGAAGGTAGGTTACAATTAGACAAGATTTTGTCGGGAAGTGGCTTTTACGACTGCTTCCAACAGGAAAAGTCTCTGTTAGCACTTTCCTTTCGAGTTTTTCTAACTGCAATTTTATAATATGAAAAATTATATAAATGGTTGCGAACACTTCCATAAGACAAGTTAACATTATTAGACTGATAAATATACATCTATCGAGCTAAACCTTAGCGTCAAATACTGACACAAAGCACTGTGGCGCGCGTCAAAGAATGAAAGAGAACCAGCGGTGGGGGGAGGAGAGGAAGTGGAGTGTGAGATAAAACACGAAAGATAAGACTGTCGGTTGTTTACAATGAAATTGTGTCGGTCTGTTTATCTGTGTGTAAACAGAACACTGGCCAGTAAGCAAAGGTTAAACCCCGTTCGTGGAGTGCAATCCCCAGACCGAGTGTTTTCCGTTTGGCACCATGGAGTGTGATCAGCTCAAAAATAGTGCTGTCTGTTTGGGAGAGCCCAAGACAAACAGAAAACATGCCAGGAAAACGGTCTCTCTACACGTGAGAAGGGAAAACAACCCTGAAAAGCATGCTGGGCCATTTGTTTCGCTGGAAACAAGAATGTGTCTGTGAGAGTTAGTAGGCTACATGTTTGTGCACGTCAGGACTTTTCGTGCAGAAAAGCATGTGGACAGTGTTTACATGCACATACGCTGTCAGCTGGTTTGGTTGAGGAATAGTGCCAGAAAAACACCCATGACACCACACAGGCTCTCCGCCCTGGTTTTCCATTCACACCCAGCCCCAGTCTTTCTCATATTTCTTCCTCCCTCCATCACTCATGCCCTGCTGTTCTAATGTTTATCTCTCTGGATTTACCACGTTTTATTTCTTGGTTGAAATAATCCAATTCCTTTTTAGCCAATGGGATTATACTCTTCGGTCAAAAAGCTTAAACATAAAAACAAAAGTTTTCCTTTGTTTTAGGTTTTGTACAAGAGAGCAAAAACGCAATTATAATAAAGCGTTTCCAAAACATTCTTGAATATAGGTGTCCATCAACTTGGCAAATAAATATCTTTAGCCTGTCAAAGCAGCAAAAGTAATAATAAAAAAAAAGAATTCATGTGCATACAAATAATAACAATATGAACTCTTGTCATCAGTAGCTTTATCACATTGTGTTATTTCAATAGGTGATATTTCTGAGATTAAGAAAGACAAACGTAGCACTTGGCAACATAATATGACACAATTGAGGCATTTTGAAAGGACATGTACGAAAAGTTTAATTTCGTGACAGCAGTGGGCCACAATACATGCATCTAGAGCAGTGGAGGAATATGTATATAGTTCCTTTAAGTCATAGTATGACCAAATATAAGCCACATTCTCCTACATGAGTCATTTATTGGACTAAAAATGTGTGAAATGGCTTTTGTTCCTTTACCCAGGTCTATTAAGACAAAGACTGCACGAACAAAGAAAACTGCTCAGACGCAAAACCCTCAAGCAGTACATCTACCCAGCAGAATTACTTATTTTTCCATCACTATCAATTTTGCTCACACAAATAACAGACAAAACAAATTTAGTAAGCTGCAGGACAAAAGAATCTATCACTCAATTATGAGACGCATTACTCCCCCTGCTGGTTCATCTGTGTAGCTACAACCAATGTAAGTAAATTCAAAATATACAATGAAGAAAAAACACATTTTTGAAGGAAATAGATACTCTCATAACAGATATAAACTGTGCAAGACACTACTGAAAAAGATAATGTGCACGTGAAAATCTTGCACAACCCCCCCCCCCCCCCCCCCCAAAAAAAAAAAAAAAAAAAAAAATGGTTGCTGCCATTTTGATTAAGGGGAACAAAAGGGTTCTTGGAAACCGATGTGCACATTTCATACTCTGTCAGTGGTCTCAGTGATTTTTTCTTTAGCAACACGGGTTGCAGTTTTGGACTTTTTTCCTTTTTTCTTTGTGAGGGAAAAATAAGTCCATTCAATCTTAGACTGATGACTTCTGCTCAAGAAGCGACGCTCAACATTGAGGACCTCTTGGTACACTTCTGCCTGACGGACCCCCAGAATGAAAGAGAAAAGATCAAGGACCCACACGTACATCCTGGGTAACCAGGGCTCCATTTCTGAGAAATGATTACCGCATGACCTATGAAGGGGAAAGTGAATGAGAAAATATATTTTACACAATATAAAATATACAATAAATTCTATTAAAACACAATATAGTATTATAATATGTAATTGAAAAAAAGCATTTGCGATGACTCACTTCTTAACGCATAACCTCAATTCAGGATGCCAGTATTTTCTGTTGGCGAGGTACTTGACACCATTTTTCTTAAAGGTACAGTCCAAACGCCTGTTATACATACTGGGTCCATCTGAACCCTCCTCATTTCCCCAGCTGAAGCGAAAGCTGGAGTAAGGGTTTGTGGTGGAAGGCAGTTGCTCTGGTCCAGAGTCAGTTAACTTATGAAATCTCTGCTCCAAATAGTCAGCCACACCTGGAGATGTGAAAGTAGACAGCATTGGATGAGAGACAGAGACACACAACTGAGATCATTACGGAGATGTGACCAGACCAGCTTACGTCTTTTTTTGAGGATCAAGCTCTTTTGTTGCAGAGATGTAATGAAAGGATTAGTGGGCTTCCATCGCCGCCTGGAAGAGAAGAACAGAAAAGATTATAGTAAAAGATTTGTCAATAAAAGTCATGGAAACTATTGAAATAATTGGGTCTTACAGGGCTTCTTCATGTTCCTCATTCTGTCTGGCTTTCTCCAAGACGGGTTGTACTATCTCAAACCAGCCTTTTAACCTGAAGACTGTGAAAAGCTTATGAGAGCATGTTGTGACCCACAAAAAACAAACAAAACAAAAATGATACACATCAAAATAAAAATAGTAAAATAGTTACTTGTCTTTTTCTTCTTGGCCGCTTCCTCAGATAACTTCCTTGAGACATTAATGAAAAAAAAGAATCAGCAAAGATTTATTTGACAAAGACAGTAAAGTCAAATTTCCCCCCCTAAAGATAACAAGTTAAAAGTTATGAAGTGACGCACCACTCCACATGATCATCCAACTTGAAAAGGAGCTTCATGGCAACAATGATGACAGCTGCTGCCTGAATTTCATAGCGCAAGAGACCAGGGTTCTCTCTTTTGGGGTCAAAGGTCAGATATGATTCGTCATCCATAGCTGCCCCCCTTATAACCTTGTGGACCCAAATATGAAGGGCATCTGAGGAGGATCAGAGACATATCAAACAAAAAGATAAAAAGAGGATTATGCGTGTTGGATAAATTAGTTTCAAATCTAAAACCATCATTTGCCACAACCTCTCCACTACAGTTAAAAACACTCACCTGGGAGGTTCGCATCCAGCAGATATCGGACAGTGAGTGGAAGTGGGTGGAGAAGGCAATCCTGGGAAACCGTTGGGAAGGAGGGTAATTGCATGATCTGAGCCAGATTAAAAGCTTCTCTATGGACCGTTGAGTAGGACGGAAGATGCTGTAGAAGTCATGGCTATTAGAAATACAACACACTGATTTATGACTGAAGAAGTGTGAACTGGTTGTCTCATTCTCACCCAAACTTGAAAGATATGGACATCTTTTCCAAACAGTCTCATCTCCTCTGGAAAAGCCTCTTGAATGTCCATATAAGGGACACGTCTCTCTGAGACCAGCCTGCAAAATCAAATTTTTCAAATGACAAGTGTAAAAACCATCATGTCATCACTAATAATACAACTAAATACACAGGCTGGAAAGACTGACAGCAATATTTGATGCTGCACACCATGCAGAAATATAGCTTAGGAGAAAAACTTGGGCCTATAAATTGTCCAAAGCAAACATATCAAACACATTGAGTCAGCATGACATCAAAATCCCATTTAAATGCATGTAAATGAAGAATGATTCATTGGTGCATGTTATTCCAAAGAAAGAAAAAACAGTCTTTATAACCTTAATCTTAAAGGGTTAGTTCACCCCAAAGTAGAGCTGCATGATTTAGGAATTATTATTAGTATTATTTTTTAAAGCTACAGGTTTGCTGTGTTGGTCCAAAATGCGAGTTTGTATCAATACGACTATAAGAAAATAGTAGTACAAGTACAAAATTAGAAAAACTGTCTTTAATTTTTACACATTATTTTGATGGAAAACCACAGAGAGGCCGGTTTTTAAGCACTTCTCATTCAGAATTTGGCATATGCTGTTACTGAATGCTTGTTATAAGTGACCCAAAATCAGCAGAGTAGATGCAGATATGCTGTGAACCAAGCCACTGCGAGAATGAAAGCACCAGATCATGAGCTGCATGTGTGTAAAAGAGCAAAGTGTTGCTTCACTTTGAAACACACAGCACATATATTTAATAAAATCACAGACTTAGAAATTTGGTGATTGCACTAAGCCATATCACAACCTTGCTTTTATTTCAATTAATTGTGCAGCCCTACTTAGCATCGCTTAGGACGTGCGGGCTACTGGATAATGTTAACTAATAGCCAAAAATCCAATCAATTCCCAATGGATAGAATCATAACCTGCCCTATATGTTATTTCACTCGTAAAAGTCACATTTTGAAGTACTGTATTGTTCCGAATATACGACCCTGATTATAAGATGACCCCTCCTTTTTCAAGATGTACCTTTTGGAAAGGCTTTCTTTAAATCTTGTCTTTTGTAAAGAAAATTATTTTAATTGAAAATTAATTCTAATATTGCATATTTTTCATTTATTTTTATATTAAAAGTATGGTAAATACTAGTCAAAATGTCCCGACAATCTAATTTAAAAATAAACGCTTCATGGCATAACATAAAAATAAATTGAGATCTCATTTCCATTAGATTTCACGATGACTTATTTCTCATCTTTTTTATGTACAGTGACAGATGTTGGCATGTTAAAAAAACACAGGTGTTTGATCCGCATTACATATCTGATCCAGACGAGATGAATGTTTTTTCCTCAGGCCGATCACATACATAGCGCTGAAAAGACAGCAGTTTCTCCCTGAAGTCGGAGGGCACGCGCTGAGCAACACTTGTACGACAGAGTAATGCTAATCCATTAAGCCGTATGATTCTTACGCCGACTCAAGGCAGCTGCCTCATGGAGGTTGGCGGACAGTCATTTCAGTGCATGGCCGAGGTAAGAAGTGAGGGGCATCACTGCTGGGTATGTTCAGCTCTTTGGCAATATCCAGTGCCCTCGTTTCTTTTTTCAGCTGCGTGCTGGTACATTTGCCTGTCGATTTCTTTGAAGCGGCCGTTTTTAAGACCGTGGTAAGCTTTTCTTTAACTGTTAGCATTTTTAAGACTAAGTCTTTTTGGCCTCACCATCTTCTAACATTACACTGTATATCTTTGCTGCTTAAATGAGAGATGTTTGATGAGTCCGCTGCATTTGCATTTGAGCTGCACTCGTTTTACACGTATTTTGCGCTCCCTGTTGTTGCGGGTGTATTACTGACCCTAAATATAAGACGATCACATTTTTTTCAGAATCATTTTACAAGAATTTATATATATATATATATATATATATTCGGAACAATAAGGTAAATGGGTTGGAAAGGCAATTTGTGTTGAAATAAGCAGTGTTTGTACTCCAAACCTCAGTAAGTCACCCAGAGTGATGGCCTCTCGGACCCACAGCAGAGCCAGATAGCACAGGGCCAGTGTCCGTGGCATGTTCATAAGAGTGCATGTATGTTGGTAAGCTTCTGAACATAATGATGATGACTGTACATCAGTGGTGTCACCTGCAGGAGAAAAACAAAATGCAGCTCAACTGACACTTTAAATAAGGTGTAAATGTGCCAGCTGACAGAAAGTAATCATATTCCTACCCGAGGCTGACAGTTCTGTTTCTGAAGAAGAAACCGCACTACTGTGAAATGACAGCTCGCTCTGAGTGTCAGACTCTGGCTCACTCTTCGGCTTCATGTACTTGAGGAAAAAACATTAGGAAGAAAGCAGAGCAGTGGTTACTGTTAATTAAAACGGGTAAAAATCATTGTAACTTTTGGCCCTCTCGCAGTTAAAAAGCAAAACTGCATGCCTTTTGCAGATTTTTAATGAACATGTTTTGGTTGTGCTTCAGTTCTGCGTGACAGTGCGGATGAATATGGTTCTTTCTCATAACCATAAAAAAGAGGGAGATTATCCTTCTGCCCATAAATCATTCACTACTAGGCTTAAGAGATATACAGGTTTCTTCAAGTTAAATTCAAGTCTTTTTAAGACCATTTATATAAAAAATTAATACCTATTTTACGTCCCCACCAGCAAAAAAAAACCTAAATCCTTGAACTTGTGTTCATTTATTTTTCAAATGTGGAATGGGTAAAAGATAAGCCAAGCAGGTGTGAAAAATAAAAACATTTCAGTAGGCCACAAGAAAGTTTGCCGAACAATGTTAAGTTGTTTTTTAACATTAGCTAGCTACTTATTCCATGGTGGGAATATGGGGAACTGAGAGACCCCTAAACAATAAACATCGAAAATCATAATAATCGTGGTTGACAAATGAAACTTTTGAGGAAAAATACAATACGGAGAACATACATACAGCAACATTTTTAAGACCCAGACACAGGGAACTACACTGCGACCAAAATGGTTGCATATGCGACCTTTTGAAATGCCATTGCGACCCTAATTTTTAATGGGTCGCAAATGTATCACCGTTTGATTATTTTTGTACCTACCTAATGTTTTAGGCAATATTCTATGATTTACTATGAGCATTTATTAAAACAGAAATGTGTATTTTAAGAATACGTTTTATAACGCGCTCTGAGCATTCAACACATCAAGTTGGCTTCGCGGATTCGCGCTTGTTTAACTGAGAGAACGAGCAGAGAGAGTGAAAGCCCCAGTCGCGCGCGCGCTCTCTCTCCCTCCCTCGCTCAAAATAATGAATTGAGTTGACTGAATATCTTTGAGAATACACGATGGTAAAAGGTCGGAAGACCGAAGTTTTTTTTTTTCTGAACTACCACTGGTTGTGAATTGTGCTAAAATAACGTTGCCTCATCTTCTCTGAAAAGCTTTCCACACATTCAGATGGCATAAACCACTCTTTCAATAAACAAAACAAAAAATCTATCTGGTGATGAAATGTTTTCTGTGTTGAGACAAATCTTGTGCGATGTCCTAAACTGCCTGGATAATCACACAACGTGTGCCGTGGTCCGTTAATGACACGTCCGATTCGCGAACTGACTCCTTTGAACCGATTCACTTTAATGAATGGTTAAAATAACAACTGATCTGTCCAACACTGAACTCAAGAGTCATTCTAGAATGATTCATTCTTTCCAAGTAGAGCTATTCAAGTCATCTGGTGAAATTGTTTTTATATCGCAATATATATCGCAGACAAATCAAATATCGCAATGTCATTTTTTACCAATATCGTGCAACCCTACTGTAAATTCTGTGGGCCTTCAATTGCAGGACTGTCCAAATTTGTAACTGCGTCAAAACAATTCAAACACGAATCATTGAAGCTTCACAATGACATATTATATTTATTTTACTTTTCCTTAAGAGTTCAGAAGTCTGCCCATCTGTGCCAACCATAGCATGGTGAAATCCAAAAGAAATTAATTTAGCACTTTATTGTGTAGGCTACTGTATTTTCTATTGCAGTAAATCTATCCCAACCATTTTTAAAGAAAACAAGAAGGCATGTGTTTTAAAAGATGGAGAGTAAAATAAAAAGCACATCTGTATGCAATACAGTTTCACTATTGGTCATTATTATCCAGAGCGGCTTACTATATAAATAATTTGTGCGACCAAATCATGTTTTGCGCTAGTAACTGAAAAAGTTAGTAGCGCAAGTGCCACCAGTGGAAAATGTTAGTGTAGTTCCCTGCCCAGACATCAAAATTCAAGACTTTAAGTCTTTTTAAGGTATTATTTCCAATAATATTTCCAATGCTTTTAAGGCTTTTTAAGACCCCTCGGGAACCCTGGATATAATCAGTTTAGATGAAAAGAATCTCGAGCTGACTAGCTAAAGACGTTACTGTAGCTCTACCCATTAATAGACACGGTACTTCCTTGAAAATGAATTCCAGCACAGCACTGCAACCATAATAAAATGACCCTTCACAATAGATCAAATCTGATAGATGAAATACCTTTACAATGACATCTGCTACATATGGCAATTTATCTGTTCAATAAAATACCTTACTAAAGATTCGAGATTCTACGTCGACCGTCTCCATTTACGGATATGAGGAGACATGCACAGGTGAGAAATGCATGAACCAGGGTATCTGCACACTTTTTAAAGTCAAATTTAAGGCTTTTTAAGACCTTTTTAAGACCTGAAGAAATCAAAATTAATACCTTACATTAGGGGTGCGCAATATTGAAAAAAAAATTTCTCAATATTTTCAAAGTTTTGTTGATGATAATTAGATGATATTTTTCTGATTGTGTTTGTGTACTGGTACCATGGCTGGTTTAGGCCTGTTGTTGACAGCTGACTCACGAAGATATTCATATTTTTCATATTCTATGCAGTGGTCAGTTCACAGCAGTGAAAGGAATTAAATTTTTTTTATTAAAGGGCAATATTTGCAACCTTAAATTTAATTCCAGGGGCATTTTCACCCATATATGGACTTTTTTTTTTTTTTTTACTTCGAGGTATGCATCACCTTTTATGTCAAATTCTAACATTCAAATTAAATTATATTAGAATAATAACACAATACCACTGTTACCAGTTATATTAAATCATTAAATCAAAATCCATCTTTGCAGTGCAGAGGAGACACAGAAGCAGCATCAGAACTGGCATTAATATATTTATACTCCATTTACAATTGCATAAATAAAGCTATGATATATTCAATTCTTTCAATTCTTAATTAAATATTTAAATATGAACTGATTTCTAATTGTAACATTTTAATTACAGGGTACTTTAAATGTGAAACTAAACCCGCCAGTAGGTGGCGGCAAGTCACTGTCTCAGGGAGTCATTCATAAACGATTTGTTCAAACGGCTGATTCATTCAGGAACTGCAAGTGATTGTTCATTGAATCGTTAAAATGATTCGTTCAAAACGCGGATTTCAGTCAAGAAATCATCGCTGTCTTTTGCATTGAGACTCTGCTACGGTTTCATTTTGAAATTCTCGTCAGCGAAATAAAGGGAAAACAAACAATATTGACAATATTGTTTATAAAATGTAACAATGTTAATTTAACTGTTATATAAAATAAATATCATGTTTGCTATTGTGCACGGGAAAACAGCCCTCTTGCTGATGTAATATTGTATGATAACAACATATGATATATAAAATACAAAAACTTTATACGTCTATTAGGGAACATACCTATAACTGCACTGACACATCACGCAGTGAAAGCAAGCATGAGAGACAAATGCGATGTCAGCTCGCAGTGCGCCCTCGTACATAGTTAACGTTAAAGTAAAACAATGATTACAATATCATAATAGACAATACACATCGCACACCACTACGCACATAAAGAATGAACTTACAATTAAACTGAAATTAACCAGCTTTCTTCTCCTCTCCTGCTGTTTCGCGTGCAGGAGACAGACGTAATGCTGGCGCGAATGTGACGCGAAATGTCACGTGAACGAGCAAATCCACAAAGAACGAATAGTAAATAAAAAAGTACGCTAATTAGATAGTTTTAATTTGGAAAACATTTAGATATGTCTAACTCAAATTGCCATTGAAAATTTAAGACCTTTCATAAGTCAAAATAAGACTTTTTAAGACTTTTTAAGGCCATACATTTTTAAAATCTAATTTAAGACTTTTTAAGGACCCGCGGATACCCTGATGAACGCAATTTCCCGTAATAACCATCCCGACAGGTCTAAAATATAACACTTATAATAGGCTTACTATAGTGATCAGGGCGAAAAAAAAAAAAAAAAAAAAACGTTTTAAATGAAGGATTGACTAATTTAAATTTTGCACAATTTTTTTTTTACATAGTGTATCTTTAAATTAAAATGAAAACTGAAAATACATAAAAGCAAATTGAAAATATTGTAAGTACTGTAATAGAATATAAATAATACTAAAATAACACTGGAGCAGAGAGGTTGTGTTTTGTTTTACACTACACAATTTTATTTTAACTTCAACATTAAAATTCAACATAAAACTTACCACTGTAAATCTTGGAGTGTATACTGCATTTTCGGTGAAAGCTTGCCGTGTGTTCTGCAGGTATTTCTTCCAGAAATTCCATAGAACTTCTGTCTGTCAAAACAAAATATGACATCTTACAGAGACAGTTTTTCTTGTCATCTATTGAGGGCCTTTCACACTGAGTGCGATACACTGAAGTGAAGCAAATGTACCACGCGATGGCACTCTTTAATCGAAACAATAGAACCCAATGGAGCTATTAATCATGGTGTGACAAAGCGAGATTTAAAAAATAAATAAATTGGACCAGTGTGTAGATTTTTTTTCTTCCCAGTCACCCCGCGATGAAGCATGTGCCCGGAGCTGCTGCACAAAAGGAAGTATTCAGAAAGAGAGAAGAGAATGCATGTTGAGTTCATTATCAATGGTGTCTGATTTATTCCCACATTTACTTAATATTTCTTTATAAAGAATATTATTTCTATTAATTTTCCACTGATTATGTGATCTGAAGAGCTTGAAACAGCGTACAGAGTCTCTTAAACATTATCGATAGTTTGTGTTTCTGGTGTAGTATCAAACTTTATTTATCTAGCTTAATTTACTGTTGTGTGTTGAGCAGTGGACGAGGTTAAAGCCAAAGGAAAAAAAAACTTTCAGATACATACACGAGGAAAAATGCATTCTCGGTCAGCGCCGTATGACATCACTTTGTAGGCCAAAACGCTGAAGCGAGTTAGCATTTTAGCACTTCTGGTTCCATCGTCCCGAAGTCATTGGGTTTTTTGAACGGGGTTTTGGTTAAATGGCTGAACTAAGGTCTGTGGTGGTGAACACAAGCTCTTTTGAGACACTTTCGAGTAGGGATGCACGATATTGGATTTTGGCCGATATTCGATATGCCGATATTTTCAAACTAATTTTGCCCGATGCCGATACTGATATATTTGGGGGGGGTTTTAAGTGCAAAAAAAGCTTATTAAAGCTTCTATTAAAGTTCTCAGTCAAGAGCAGTGAGTGATTTCCTCTGTGTTTTGTTGTTTTATTAACATTAAAGGGGAAAGTTCTCCCAAAAATGTAAATTGTCATCATTTACTCTCTCAAGTTTCTTTCTTCTGTTGAAAATAAGTTATTTGGAAGAATGTGGCTAACCAAACAGTTGCTGTACTCCAGTGACTTCCATAGTATATTTAAGCACAAGAAAGAAATGAATACAGGTTTGGAACAACATTAGAGTGAGTAAATAATGACAGAATTTTTATTTCTGGGTGCAGTATCTCTTTAAGGACAAGCGGCAGCATATTATTACTGTCTCTTTAAGAACTGCACGCGACGCGTCTAATATACACGCATTTGACAAGCAGATTTTCTCTGTTTGCTTTCACTTTAGACATAACCAACTTTGTTTATGTAAACCTTGTGTGTATTTGACAGTATCAGCGCAATAAGACTCGAAAGATCAGTCCAGTATGCAGGCGCTGTGACAGGCTTTTAGTTCCTGTGAGCGTCGGGTGTACACGCTCAGAAAAACGCATGTTAGAACAGCGCATCAGCACGCGAATGACATGTTTAACTAGCAAGACTTTGACGCACATGCAAATAATGAACTTTTGTGAATTGCAGTGTCCCGTGAGTGTAACTCTACCTCTGCATTTACATGTGATGTGATGTGAATGTACGTCGCGTTGTACAGTATGTTGAGATGAAGGCGCCAGAATTGAACTGATAGAATGCACGATACTATGATTTTTCTTCAAAAGCAGCATATCGTGGAGACATTTTAATCGTCCACGATCAAAAACCGCGTGAGACGCACACCCCTAGTTGGAAGTTGCTGGCGCTCATGCTTCGTTCACGGTCGTCACGTGCGCATCGGAAACACGCCACCCTATCGGCAAGACTCATCGGCAGAAATATTCATATCGGCCGATGCCGATGATGGTCATTTTAAGCTTTTATCGGCCGATACCGATGTTGTCCCGATATCATCGTGCATCCCTACTTTCGAGTTTTATTCTACAACATAAAATACATAAAAATTACCACACTCGTTATTTTTTTAAGATGTTACGTGTGAAAATGGCGGTTGCTAACAAGGCTAAATGGGACTACAGAGGCTGTCGAGGAGATTAAACATCACAACGAATAGGTCAGCTCAGTTCGCTTTTACAGCCTCATTATATTAACAAAATGAGAGGCTTTTATGGTCGCCCATCAATGCAAATGTCTCTGTGTATAGAAGGATCATAAACATGCTGGTACAGACGTACCAGTTCGGCCTGATTCGGCTCGAAGTCGTTCATCTTCGGATGCGGCGCCGCGCGCGATGTTACAAAAAGTGCCGTGCACACCGCCAGGCGAAATGGGGTCTTGCGCACCCAACCCGCACGACCGCCCACACCGCAATTACGTCATTTTGCCGTGCGCACCTTCGCGCTCTTGCGGACGCGTCGAGTATAAACAAGGCTTTAGGGCTGGGCGATATGGCCTAAAAAAAAATCCCCGATTTTTTCACAAAAAATTCGATTTACGATTTAAATCGATTTTTTTTCTCTCCCTACTTAAAATCAATCTGCAGATGACAAAGAAATTGTTCAAAACAAGTTTTAACTTTATTTTGTTTTGATATTCCCTTCTGTGATATTATCTGGATTAAAGTGTAATCAGAAACAACAAGCCAAAAAGACAAGAGGGCAGGCCCTGTCATTGTAAATAGTGTAAATGTAACATAACATAAAATGGGTGGATTGGGGGGATGTGTAAAAAAAAAAAAAACTTGCATCACAATAAGTTTATTGTGATTGTCAAATTATTTGGTAACTAATAGTGTTGTCAAAATATTCGGTACTTCGGTACCAAGTCGGTACTAAAAAAATTTAAACGTCACGGTACCAAGTCCCGGTGGTACCGAGTACCCAGTCAAACCCGGTTCTGGATGCGCGCGCATGCATGCACGAAGGGCGTGAAGTTGCGTCCGCTTCATGAAAGCGCTGAGACATGGCGACCGGCGGCGCTGCTGATGTGGTGTCTGTGTATATTAAACTGCAAAACGACTATTTAAATATGAACCCTTCATGTTCTGCTTGTCTCTGTGTGAATGAACGGCGCAGACGCGCGGTTTCATTAAACGTTACCTCACACACACACACACACACACACACACACAAGCACGATCGAGTGACGCTCGCGCTGTTTTCAGTCTCTGCTGCCTCACGATATGATGACATGATTTATGATTCCATTCATCTCCGAGAGTCACTTCATGAGCATTTTACCGTTTCATTTGAGAAAAACTATCGTCATATCATACACGCACAGAAACTCAAAGGTCTTCACGGCAACCCGTCAAAATAAAAGTTTGGCTTAACTTAAAGAAATTGACAGAAATAATTATATTAGGCTACTGTACAATAGATTTAACTACGTCTCCATTATTTCAAGATACTACTACTAATAATAATAATAATGTGTGCATAGAAGGTTGCTTATTTTTCACTTGACTTTTTATAAGCAATATTTCTCAATATCATCAATATTTTCGTTTAAACAGCATGTAGCCTTCAATCCTTTCATAAATTTACCATCATAAATAATAAAGTCATTGAATTGAATTTAATATATATCTATTTTTTTCAAATAGTTAAATAAATAATAATAAAAAAAAAAAATAGTTCAAACTGATTTTGCTGTGGTACCGAAATTGGTACCGAGAACCGTAACATTTTAATGGTATCGGTACCGACTACTGGAATTTTGGTACCGTGACATCCCTAGTAACTAAACATAATTGTATCAAGTTTATTAACTATAAACACAATGTTTACATGGTACAAAAAGACTGGTATGCTACTATTGCTTAACACAAATTTCAATTCTTGTGATTTTGATTCTGATATTGATTCAATATCAATTCCTCTGGATAAATATTAGGTACAGTAGATACTAATGTGTTATGTTAATTGTTCTCCAAAAATAAATCACCTAATGCTGTAAACATACAGAGAGCCCTGTGTCAGCTATTATTATTAAAGGTTAAAACTAACTCAAATTAAACAATGCGTTTTTTATAATAACAAACAACGTTATAATATTTTAATGATATAGGTAAAATATAATAAATGTGTAATATAGTTACCATATTTAGCAAAATACTCCTCTCTATAGCAATTATTTTAAGTCCAACTAACATGCGTGCTATGGGTCATTAAAAGGCATCCTGAGGTAAATGTAACGTTACGTGACATATGTTGTTCTCCAGCTGTTTTATGGACATCTTTCCGCGGTTGAAAAACACTGATCGATCGATTTTATTAGCTACATTTGGGTAAGTTAGTACTTAGTAAAGAGTAACAGATGATCGGTTCATGTGCCGCTTGAACTGAGATCTGTCAGCGATCTTTCACGTCACATTTACAAGCGCCAAAATTGTCTGTGTTTATTGTTTGAATTTCGTATTAAAATTGACCGAATCTGAGAGCTGAGAATCTGTTTCATATCAATAGTAACCTGCTCTGTCTAGTCTGTCGGTGTCAGTGTCCTCTTGATCTTTTCTGCGCGATGTTTCTCTGTGTTAGAAAATGGATGTGTGCGTGAGAGCGTGTAAAAAGTGACAATTGCGTCTCTCACAGTGAACTCGTGAGAGTTGGCTGCCCTGCAGATTCAGTTTGTAAATGTTTTCGGCGGGTGTGCTTCTGCTGCCGCGGTCTTGTTCATTTGCCATGTTGTTTGTGTATCTCTATCATGCCAAGCGCTGAGCCCGGTCGGAACTACGGGAGCCCAGATGGGCGCGTCGGCGGTTGTTAAAGAGAAAACCGATTTTCATTCAAAAAAATCGGCGTAAACTCGCGTAAACTACACATTCGAGTTAATCGATAAAATCGATTTATCGCCCAGCCCTACCACACCTTTAAGATATGTCGGTGCAAGTTGCTTTCAGTTAAAACAGGTCAAACATGCATTTAAGTCTGGGACTAGGTCAAGGCAAGCCTTGCCTGTGAAACCGGGGGTAAAGCTACTAACCTCAAATTTCATGCAAACACCAAGACTGACCAAAGCCTTGGCCTGAAGTTTCAGGATGAACTGAAATCCCTCACACACCATCCACTCTCGTTCATCCTCTGAAAAATAACAGAAGACATGAGATCATTAAAAAGACTGTTTTGAACTCTAAATGTCTCGTACCAGCGTATCAAAAGTGGATAGAAGACTGACCCGATCTCTTTCTCTTGGGTTTCTTTATTTGTGAGATCCTGCTGTATTTACAATAAAGGGCGGTGGAATCCACCACCTCCCTTGTTTTCTAGGGAAAGATGCAAAATTATAAGGCATTATTTCATTAAAACTGCAGTCCGCAGTTTTTCCTCTTTGTCGCCATCTCTGTTCGAAATCTGCAATCGCAGTTATTCGCGGAATTATTAACTCTACGTGAGTTGTAGTTCGACATGGCACAGCGTGGATGTTTGAGGAGAGTGTGTGTGTGCAGCTGTCAGTCACCGCGCCGATGTGGATACTGGCATTCAGAATCACAGATGATTCTTTTTGGAAGTATGAGCATAATTTACACCGGAAAATGTCATCTCAACAAGTAAGTAACATCCACTTTTGTTCTGGTTCTTACATTGCAGTAAATCGTGCTGATTGAATCTAAAAATCGCTAATAATACGCGATTATACTTTGAATTATACTTATTGTATTATACTTTGTTCTCAAATTGTTAATGTTAACAACGTCAGCATTGCGTGACTAACTGTTTTACATGTATTGTCCTTGTTGTAATGTACATGTACATCATGTAATATGTATCCTTGTTTTCGCATGGGTCCGGTTGCAGTCTCTTTTTTTCTGTAGCCACGAGATATATCCAGCTGCAGACCCGCAGCACCACCAGTTTCAGAACCCCAGCGCCAGAACCGGAAGTGAGGGAGGGGCGGAATTATTTACAATGACACAAGCATGGTTATTTTTGCAAGTATTTAAAAATATTTAAAATTGTTGCACCTTTTAAATAATATTTAGGGTATGTTTTTATTACACAGTGAGTCACTGCTCGTTGTATGAACTATAACTGGTATGTGACAAATAAAGAGCAAGACAGCGCTCGTGTTGTTTGAAGACGTGAGAGTGCGCGCGCGCTCTCTCTCTCTCTCTGCTCTGCCCTGTCATGCGCAGCAGTCATTCTATTCTACATCAATCACCGATCAAAATAGGCTTTGGCGGGACAAAAATTTGCTTTGGCGGCTGCCAAAAAGCGGACGATCTGACGGGTTTTAGAAGATTTAATACAACCTGAAACTAAAAAACAGACCCGACCTCTATTTGAGACCGGCCTTATATTTACCCAGACCTGCAGCCACACCAGGCGTGTAAAGAGACAATCGTCTATTTGGGACTCGGCTATTATTTGAAGTACGGTACATTTTTATTGTTTCTTTTAAAATAATGCCGGATTTTCTCTCTTTTTTTAGATTTTTGACATTATTTTACATAAAGAAAATGCATGCTGCACATGTTCTTGTGAAATAAAGTATATTTTATATAAAATGACCATAAGTTTCAAGCATTATTTTTCACCATCAGGAAGTAACTCTCATAATGAAACGGATAACTATATAGAATTATATTACACAAAATCAATGTTTTAAAATGCTTATTGTACTATACCTTTAATGTATCATTATAATATGTATAAAGTATGACGTTTCGTGTGTAATATTGCCGTTTCGTGTCTAAGCAAATTACGCTCCAAAACGTTAGGTGGCGTTACTCGGTTTAGAACGTAAGCTCCTCCCCTCACTTCCGGTCCTGGCGCTGGTGTTAGAACCAAGGGGGTAATCCATCAGCCGGAAGTTGAAGCTGCCTCCGGGGGCCGCCATTGTAGCTGGCTATCACCTGCTGTTAGCATCCCATTGACTCCCATTCATTTTGGCGTCACTTTGACAGCGAATAACTTTACATCTGAAGCGTCCAAAGACTCCATTTGTCCATTATTTATTTCTAAAGAAACACGACAATGTATAAAAGGCTCCATTACTTTGTATCTTCCGTTATGGCCCCGTAGAAGCCATTCTTGTAAAAATAGGCTAACGATTGCGTCATAACCACGGGACGCTCTGTCGCACAGTAGAGAAATTACCGTATAGACAGAAGTAGAAGCTCGTAGGCAATCGTTTACTGTCTATGAGGCAATCGGGTGGACATCGAGGATCGAGGAGACGAGGAGGGATATTGAGAAGCACCCGGGGTCGCTGTGTCCATTTCTTTTACTGTCTATGGTTAGAACCTAAGCTCCGCCCCTTACTTCCGGTTCTGGCGCTGGGGTTCTGAAACTTGGTGGTGCTGCGGGTCTGCAGCTGGATACTATTGGTAGCCACTCCGAAGTCCGAACGAAGTCTTTTGCATTTTACAGCGGGTGAATCTCCAGTTGTCACCGGTGATTGTCGTTTGAACCTTTCTGGATCCGCCATCAAATTGATAAGTTTAATTATATCAAGTGCTGTGAGAAAAGGCTATAAATCTCCAACTCCAACATCCTCACACGCAATATAACCTACTAGCCGAGACTCCTTCTTTATGTGTACAGATGTGACGTAATGACGCAAAGACATGCTCGAATCTCCCGCGGAAATCCACCAGTACCACTGGAATGAAAAACATGAAGCTTACCGTTTTGAATTAAGCTAAGGCAATCAGATAGTTTTGAACACTGGCTGGTTATGTATTTTCTCAAATATGTATTTTGGATAATTTGTAACCCAAAAAAGCTACGGGCTGCAGATTTAATGTTTTGGAAGTTAATGGTAGTTGGTATGGTTGGTTGGTTTAGTGATTTCCATGACACGGAGAGCCCCGGATATCTAATTTGTTTTGTCTATTTTACCAACCTCGATCACATTGTGGCAGTTCTTGCAGAAGAAGTGACCCCCATCTGAAACTCCCCATTCCACAGCGGCGCACTGACCACATGGCTCACTGAATCCATCCTGGAAGAAGAGTCCAGCGGTAACATCATCATAAGCTCACATATCGAAATACCAGTGCAAATCGCATAACAACACTAACTCCAGGATACACTCACAATAAGTTCGTCCATGAGTTTAATTAAAGGTTCAGAAAACTTCCATATCAAATCCTGCGCACACAGTTTGTTTGCCTTCTGTGCTCAAGCAGCGTAGGAAAACACGCTTTCAAAATGGCCACCAATATATATTTTTCATAATAAAAGTCCAAGTCATCTAAAATGTTCTGAGGGTTAAAAATTTGTTTTACAACTTTAGGTCATTTTATTATTGTTAATATTCATTATTTTGTTTTAAATTTACTTCTAATGGTACTGTTTATTATTTTGATGTACCATAGTTTATGATATAATAAATGCATTTGATTTTATATAATATATGCCTAATGTAAGAAACTGTGTAATGATTGGTATATATATATTTATATAGTTAAATATAAATTACAATAAATGCTTTAATACAGAAGTTAAAATGAGTAAAACGCGTAATAGCTTATAATAATGTATATTTGCACACTGTATGTACATTGTATGCAAATAATACTAATTAATATACCCCTTATTTTATATATTTATTTCAAATTGGTTTTATTATTATTTATATTATATTATTATTATATTTTATACAGAGGCCTAATTATATAATTATACATAGGCCTAATTATATTAATAATAGAATTATATTACATATTTATAAAACTTAATAAATAATTATTTATTCTGGATTTTTTTTTTTTTTTTTTTTTTTTTTACTTGCACAGCACTCTCTCGTGTATGTAGAAATAAAGAATTAAATTATTTTGTTCTATTATTTTTTATAGGCTACAATTTTTATTATGTTAAGTTGTCAATTGCTATCATTAATTTACGCACTTTTTGTTTGTTTGTTTGCACCAATGTTTGCTTTGCCAATGCATAGTTATTCATTTTAAAGCCTGTAAAACACTACCACTTTATGTCTCTCCTGGATAGCTTGACATATGTCATCATGGACAATGAACAGTAGATGGCGTATAAGTGCACGAATCTGTCAGTGCCTTGGGGGTATAAACAATATCATAGTAGGCTACTCCATACCTGGACTGCATCCGCTCCCCCCAAATTTCCTTCTCAAAAAGACCTGAGGACATTCTCTCCTATTGCTCTCCTCACTCCATGACGACAGTTATATGGCTAAATAGTGTCCTTGTTTGTATGACTGTGTTATTTTGACACCGTGGAAGACTTTGGAAGCAAAGTAAATGTTTAGCAGTATTCATATCAAACATTACCGTTTTATGACATTTCTCCTGCCACGTATAAGCACACCATATTTTTAAATTTGATTCATGAACATTTCTGTCCAGATTATGCATTTAAAGTTCAAAATGAAGATCTGCAGGGTATTTTAACACATTAGCAGCAATTATATGGGACAGACAAATTAAAGGGGGGCTTAATGTGCAATGTGACATTTGTCTTTTGTGTGCGCCTATGTGTTTTTTCCCCCACTTGGGCTTCAGCAAAGCAAACCTCCCTCCACACTCCCCACTTCTTTGAAGAAAGCTGCTTCTTTCACCACTGGACCAATTTCATGGTTTACTGCCTCATGCTTTCTCTTGTGTTCTCTATGCAAAACGCAGCATTGTTGCCAATGGAAATCAGGAATAGTCAGTAACTGCTGGTGGTATTATTCTTGACACTAATAATGCAGCGGATTGCCTATGGCACGTTTTACATCCCCACAGACGTTGCATGGCATGGATAGAGATAGTGGGAGGTTGTGGGCGAAGAGAATATTATACTTGAGTCTCATTCACTTGGTTCCTATCTGGTATAAATATTACATGCTTTCCTCTCACTGCTTTTCCCATCACGACTCTGCTTCCTGCTGTTCACGGCAACGGGTTAGCCAAAAAAAAAGAAAAGAAAAGAAAAAGCCACTGCTTGCTGTGAGCTGCACCATACGGTAGATGGAGATACTTCATCTGTAATTAAATGAAACAAAAATTGACTATCATAACACTTATGTGTACACGCCTAAATGTGTACGTGTATGTGTAGTTTGAAGGAACCGCTAAGCCGGATCAGTTCAGTATGTACTTTATGATGGACCACTTTGATTAACTCAAACTTGTTCGACAAATTCACTGGAAATGTCTCTGTTTCTTTGTAATTAAAACCTAACCACAAAACAATACGTGCTATCATATTTAACACTTATAAACTTAACACTCGACAAATGAAGGCCTATATGTAGTAGATAGCACAGGTACGTCTGCTAGATCTGGAGATCTGGAAAACATCTCCAGTGTAAATACATCTGATAAACCTCTTAGAAAGAGTATTTTTACATTCTGAACCATAAACATCTTAAAGACATCTTCTAAATGTCTATATGACATCTGACAGGAGACGTCTCAGAGACGTATTGCGGATGAACAAACACTCTTGCAGATGTAAATGCAGACATCAAATAGACGTCTCTAAGATGTTCGTGTGCTATCGTGTTGCTTGTGCCTTAATTGAGCCACAAGGAACAACTCAACCAATTCAATTGATGAGCCATTACGCTGCAACCGTTCCTATCAATTCAAACTTAAACTGTTTAGACCGATTTGACCAATTCTCGGAAAAGTTCTCAGTTTCTCTGTTATTAACCTAACCATGAAAATAGCTATAACACCCAGCCTGAATATAACACCCAGTACATGTGCATGCACCGCGAAAGATTGAAATCATTACCTGTTCCGAATTCTGATCAATGTAATCTAAAACCAGTTTAATCAGTTTAATGAAAACAACCAACCCAAAATAGTCATTAATTTTCGAATTGCCCTTTGCTTTGTTCACTGGACAACAGAAAATCTTACACATTAAAACAAAATTTAAGCCTGTTTTTAAGATTACGAGATCATTCAATTATATAAAATCCCATCTAATTGAATTAAATAATCCCTAAATATTATTCATATTATGAAATGAGAATTAATTTAAATGAGAAACAATAGGCCTAGAGCTTTATTGCATCTTTATTGCTGAAATGCTGTCAAGAAGAAAATCCAATAAAAAAATTCACAAGAAAATAGCAATTCTCAACTACAACCAAACTTAAAAAAGCTACATGATTTAAAATGAGAAATTAAACTAATTTTACCTATGTGTACCGCACATCATGTTAACCAGTTAACCTCTCTTGGTCAACCAGCTTTATCAGATAGACATTTTTGTTGGTGAACAACATAGTTTTGCTGGTCCAAAGAAAAGATCAGCACAAAACCAGCATACATTGGACTAACATGGTCTGAGTTATTCTTTTCAGCCAGATAATCAATCCGTCTGGGAAGCATTCTTTGATGAGTTGGGATAAATGCTGGTATGATGCAATAATGTTATTAATGTTGCCACGCACTGTATTGGCATACTAAAAGCTTCTGTATACACATTTCTGTCATAACAACTCTCGGAGAGATTAGATTAGCATGGTATAATGGATATGGTAATGAATGGTAATGTATTTGTTCTTGGCGGAATAGACGCTGGTGCAGAGCAACCGAGACTATACTGCCAATACATTCACACATTGCGGTGAGCAATGTAAGACACACTGCTGCTGCACATGTAACATGCATGAATAACCCCTGTGGCAGATCTATACAGGTGGAGCTGGGGAAGGTGGAGGGTTTCTTAAAGCACGCTGCAACAGCAACCAATAGCTGCGCTATGTAGATGACAATGCGATCGCTACCAATTGAGTTATGGACCTCATCCTGCGCCATAGAGTTTCTTGCCAGAACTTGGTATTGGTGTATTAACTAATTAAATTGGAGCAAATATAAACACATATAGCCTACACTATTTATTAAATAAACCTAAAATATTGAATCTATAACTTAAAACATGCTTCACATTTACAGATAGGCCTATTATCCACTGTCAAAAACATCTTTTGATATGCTGAGGTGGAGGCAGGGGAATCTTCACTCTCACACACTACACACATGGAAAATCCTATTGTTGCCCACCTCAGGTCTGCATATCGTCGGTTACCATGACAACCACACCACGTAGTTGCAGCCGGAGCGAACGGAGGGGGTAGTTCATGCATAATCAAAGATGAGAGCGACTGCATGTGCACAGCTCTCTCATCTCAAAGAGGCTGTCAGAACTCCTAATTGTGCGCCCACAAAGGATCTGATGTTTTGTGGGGTCTGGAGGATCAACCACCATTTTTACTGAGAGCAGTTAAATGTAAACAGGTAAATTCAGATAATTTGAATTGACCTGCTTTAATAAGTAGGCCTATCTAGGGGTTAATATGCAGAAAACTAATGCTGTGGTGTTGTTAATTCTCTGATTTTATGTTCATGTTTGGATGAACATAAATGTTAATAAATGAAAATACGATAAAAGATTTATATTTATAAGGGTAAAAGGTAAAATGTTCCATGGAGAAATAATGCCATTCTCATATAATTAAGAAAAGTCATGAGGAATCAACCTGACGCTTCAAGGTTAAATATATCTTTGAGCTAATAAAATGGCCTTGAAAATGAGTCAAATTGGTGACAAAACAACCTTCTTGCTGAGCAAATGATCTAAATGTTATATGATCAGGTCCACACTTTTAGCTTTATTCTTTGTTTATAATCCAGAACGTTCAAAACATGAGCAGGCCTATATTTGTTGTGTTCCCTTGAAGCATTCAAATCTTTATAGCTGCACTGGCCTGTAAATAATAGGCAGCATATTTCTGAACAAACAAGTACAGTATACACTTTCACTACATCTATGGGTGAGGCTACACATAGAGACATACATACCAGATTTTAGTTCCTCCCATCACTCTGGAACAAATGACCTCATTGCCATCATTAGTCAATGCGGTAGCCTGTCAGCAGACCCGCTGTTTACTCAGCCCGCCATCACCATGGTGATAAAAGCTGCACATATTTCCCTTCTTTCAGAAATACTTTGGACAGGCGTATGTTTAGAAGACAGCAGAAGTCAGTATGACTGTCCCATACGTTTGCTTACACGATCTGCTGTAAGACTAACACATCTCTAGAATGCTAAAGCTCAACATACTTCCTAGAATCTCTGGATCAATGAGCTGCTCAGATTCTTGTTTTCCATGTGTCTATTTATTCCTTCCAGATGGCTATTTATTCCTGCTTCATTGCAAACAAAAGACTAAA